CATATATAAAAAGTACTTAGTGTATTGCTTCTAGTTTTTTAGGACAGATGTGGGGTAATTTTTCCATTTTAGATGCTCTGCTAACTATTTTTCTCACAGAGCTTTTCACTCTCATAACTTGGCAGATCTCAGCAGTCTTTTTAGATGCTGGAAAAGTGGATATTAGATTCAGCTCTACCATTCGGTTAGGAGTACAAGAGCACTTAAGTACCTTTGTTTTAAATAATAGTTTGTTTCATAAATGTAATCTTTGGATCTATGTTATTGTGTCTGCCAGCACCATTCATTATGTGCTCGTTGCTGTGCAGTCAGAGCTCTGCAGAACATCCACCCTCCTTCCTCAAAAGGAAACAAGTTCCCACCACAAAGCTTTCAATACAAGTTGAACAACAATTGTTGGGGGAGCTTGAAGAAAGATTAATCAACTGAGGTGGGGTTTCCAGCAGGGAAAGGAGAATATAAGTGATCTGAATCTGGATGAAGAGTTGTATTACTGAGATATGGATGATACATGAATATTGAGATTGTATGGAAGAATATTGGAAGAGGTTCTGTTTCAAAATCTAATGATACTGCTGATAGTGGTATTAGGCTGATACTGTGAGCTGATTTGGAGTGTGTTGATGTACTGTTAAAATTTGGGACTGATTAGGTGGAGCAGTTTGGTGGAATGAAGAGGTGCTGAGGCAGCAGGGATACTGTCAAAGGAGCAGTGTGGGAAAACGGTCTGAAAGCAGAGGGCAGGATGAGCTAGTGTTAGCCAGTACCAGGGTAAAGAGGAGTAATGGTCTGAACAATATTTTAGCCAGAAACTACTTTGTCTGGAGTAAGATTTTTTTTCCAGATGAATGCCATTAAGTCCTAAAAGAAATTTAAGATGTGTCAGCTAAGAGTCAGAGCCCCATGGGCTGTGGTGAAGTTAGTGATTTGTGGTTATTTTTTAAGAGCTGTTTACTCAGTTCTATGGGATGTTAACCCTGAGTGCTGTCAGCCCACCAAGCCCCATTAGGTTTGATAGTTGGTCCTGGGTTTTGAGCTGACCATATCTAGCTAAATTTATATAAGATGTAGATTTAAGAGAATAAATTATTGACCAAACATTGAACTCTTTGGCTGCCTTTAACAAATCTTGAAAGGGAACCATTTTGGTTTGTACTGACATTTAAAAGGAGGCAAGAACTCCACCTCTCTGCCGCAAAGATAGATCTATGTATTCTGTGTGGTAACAGGAAATAACAGACCCATGCAAGGAAATATTCCTTGTTCCTATTCTCTGTGTAGCTGAGGGTTGCAGGTAGCACTAGGAGAAAATAATAGAGCTGGCTACCTAAAGATGTATTGTAACAAAGAAAGAGAAACTTGGCCAAGGGACTGAGATACTTATTCTTCTTAGGAGATAAATACCCCTAGAAAAAAGTTGGCTTTCCCCACTTCCCTCCTCCACCCTTCTATATTAGCAACTCTGGAAAAGTCCCCCAGGACAGCCTGTGTTTCTCTTAACCACTCACCTGTTTTCAATTAAAAGGCAGTGGGCATCTCTGTAATTGCTAGCAGCCTCTTCCATTTTTTCCCTTTTGTATCCTGAAGGAGCCCAGTAAAAGGCATTGCTGAAAAAGCACTAGCATTCATTACTCTTGAATGCATGATGGGCTAAGAGTCAAGCAGCATCTTGCTAAGTGACTTATTTCATTTTTAAGCCATCCAGGTGCTTATAGATTTATAAAACCATTGAAGTTGGAAAAGAGCTGTAAAATCAAGACCTGCCCTTAACCCAGTACTGACAAGTCCACCACTAAACTGTGTCCTCAAGTGCCATGTCTGCATGTTTTCTTAAATACTTTCAAGGATGTTGACTGCCCCACTTCCCTGGGCAGCCTATTCCAATGCCTGGCAACCATTTCTTCCATGAAGAAATTTTTCCTAATACCCGATCTAAACTTCCCCTAGCCCAGCTTGAGGACTTTTCCTCTGATCCTGTCCCTTGTTACCTGGGGGGGAAGAGGCCAACCCCCACCTGGCTCCAGCCTCCTCTCAGGGAGTTGTAGGGAGTGACAAGGTCCCCCCTGGGCCTCCCTTTCTCCAGGCCACACACCCCCAGTTCCCTCAGCTGCTCCTCACCTGAGCTGTGCTCCAGACCCTTCCCCAGCTCTGTTGCCCTTCTCTAGACACCCTCCAGCCCCTCAATGTCCTTCTTGTGGTGAAAGGCCCAGAACTGGGCACAGGATTTGAGGTACAGCCTCACCAGTGCTGAGTACAAGGGGGACAATCCCTGCCCTGCTCCTGCTGGCCACACTGTTTCTGATCCAGGCCAGGATGCCATTGGCCTTCTTGGCCACCTGGGCACACCCTGGCTCATGTTCAGTCACTGCTGACCAGCACCCCCAGGTCCTTTCCCAAGGGGCAGCTTTCCAGCTACTGTTCCCAGCCTGTAGGACTGCAGGGGGTTGTTGTGACCCAAGTGCAGGACCCAGCACTTGGCCTTGTTGAATCTCACACCACTGGCCTTGGGCCGCTGATCCAGCCTGTCCAGATCCCTCTGTAGAGCCCTCCTACCTTCCAGCAGTGGGATCAGTACTCCCAACCAACTTGGTGTCATCTGCAATCTTTCTGAGGGTACCCTTGATCCCCTCATCCAGACTGGTGATAGATATTAAATAGAACTGGCTGTGGGGAGCACCACTTGTGACCAGTCACCAGCTTGATGTAACTCCATTCACTACCACTCTCTGGGCCTGGCCACTCAGCCAGGTTTTTGCCCAGTGAACAGTTCCCCAATCCAAGCCATGAAAAGCCATTTCTCTAAGAGAAGGCTGTGGACGACAGTATCAAAGTCGAAGTAGACAACATCCACAGCCTTTCCCTCATCCACCAAGTGTGTCATGTGGTTATACATAGAAGGAGGTAAGGTTAGTAATCATGCTGCCATGTTATCAAAACCTGTATCATTTGCTCCCTCTAATGCACGGTAAATTAGTGCCATAACCCAGAAAGGTCTCCTTGTTGATGCCATGCCACCCTTTTCCCTAATATCTATTGTTTGGGAGCACTGGGAAGGGAGGAGTGGCAATTCATAGGAGACTTGCTGCTGGCAGTGTTCTTCCAGGCAGTTTTAAGGCCCACTGTGCTCCCTAATTTCTCTTTGGTGAGCACTGGAACTGGGCTGACAGCCAAAATCTGCCTGCTTCTGAATGTTGCTGTAGTGTGTTGGGGTTTCAAAGGTGTCTCTAGGAGTCTTTCTATTCAGCTCGGGAAGATCCTGGCAGAAAACAGTTGGAGGAATTTTTATGGATTGCATTCGATACCAAATGTCTTTTCACTGCTGATCAGCCCTTGCTGGAGCAGGGTGTGGTGGGAGGGGAATACTTTTACAGGTCGGTTATGATACATTTTTTTGTACTGGGGGGAATTAATTAGGTTACTAACAGAACAGTTTTTATTCTCAGTGTTCTGTGAAAATACTCAGTCTTGATGCATCACATCTATCTTTCTGTGGTCTGGAGGACAGGCAGAGTTGTTAGTAGTTGTTTCCTTTGGGTAGGTTAATATGATCTAGAGGAGCTAGATAACAGTAGGTAGATATAATCTAGGAGAGAGAGAATTTTTTTGGTGTCTTGAGGCACACTGATGTAAATATAAACCACAGAATCAAATTTCTTTTTAAGTTCCCTTAGTAGGTGTTCCTGTCCTTGGCTTGCAGATGTAGGTATTGTAGTAGTTGCAGAGATCACTTACCTTTTAGAAATATTTGGATGTTTTTAAAGATCTCAAGGCAAAATGGTCAACATTTTGGCCTCTGCTTTAATTCTGTACCAAGGAACTCTTGTTATTTAGGCTGAAAGTTTTCAGTTAAGACTCTAGGATTTAAGCTGAATAGATTTTCAAAAGGTGCTGAAGTTAAATAACCCTTTGCTTTCACTGGCAGCTTGAGTCAGTTTCCTGTGAGAGACCTTCAAGAGCTGATGTGTAGCTGGTAGAAACTGGTAGTTCTGGTTTCTTCCCCAGCTCCCCATCCTTTGCTTCTAAGTCAAGCACGAGTAAAAGGGCAGCTTTTATTTTGGCTGTACATTGTAGTTTAGGTTTCTATTCAGATCTATCAAACATTGCACCACAGTATCTGAGCAAAGTTCTTTTGTACACAGGGCAAGTTGGGACCATTAATTACAAGTAGTGCTAAAAGTAGCCCAGTTATGCAGGAACATAAATGCAAAAGTCAGTCACATAAAGGGGAAGTTATCTCAGGATCCACACATTTTTAAAATCACTACTATGTGTGTGAGTGCTGAAACTGTGAAAATTTGGGCAGAAAGCAAGCTACTGCCATAGTTCTAAAAGGGCATTTCTGTTGTATGCTTTGCATTTGTTTTATTTTTTTTTCCTCTGGATGCTTTCCTTATTCTGCTGTCATTAGTCCCTCCCTCATTATATACTCCCAGGGAGTACAGCTCTCTTGCTTGTTAGGATGGTGTAGGTGGTAACTTGCAATGGTACAAAGGACTGAAGGAGAAATAATCATCTGGGTAAGTCATTACTCTGTGCAGAGACTGACTTGCTGATTTTTTTGTGCATGGCTTACTTATCCCACTTTCTTTAAGACCTAGAATGTTGTAGGAATTGAAAATGTAATAGAAAACCTTCAATTTGTTTGCCTAGAAAGGGAAAAAATGTATGGTTGGATGATGAGCATTTAATAAAAGCTCTAAGTTGAGGGTCTTGGATGCTCTAGTGAATCCTGCAGAGCGCAGTTCTGCACGGTAGCCTGCACTAAATCAATTTATACAGTGCTGCATTCCTCTCTTTTTCTTTCTCAAATATCTCACCTTGAATCCCCATCAAAGTACAGATGGTTCATTTGCTGTGGTCTGACACAGCTCTGGTTACCGCATGGCACTTTCTCAGTACTTTGTGCTGAATGTTTGAACCATTGGGTTCTTCTTTCCTAAAGCGATGTTTCTCATATTTTTTCCCAGCTCTAAAGCAATGTTTCTCCTATTTTTTCCCAGCTATCCATTGCAATCTGAATCCAAATGGTATTGATCACCCTGTCCCCACAGAAGGCATTAACCTGCAGCTAGAAGGCGAAGGAGTTGATTCGCTGGCAGTGAAGAACACTGGTACTCCCAAAGGGCCTGAGTCAAAAGACACACCCAAGAGACAAGTGGAGCCAGAAATATCTAAGGTAGGTAGAATTGCCTTCTTATTTATTTTGATGAGTCTTTAAGAATCCAGGCTTCTTGAAGTCCTGGCTTCTGCTTGAAAAGCATTTATCATCCTGTTAAAGACATATAAAGGTGTAAAAATAGCAGTCTGAGGAAATGGGTGTTACAGAAGCAAGGTACTGCTGTGGAATTGTAGCATACACACATCTCGGATATTGCACTATTCTGTGTTTCTCTAAAGGAAGATAATTAAAGTAATGGGATCACTCTTTTTCAGACACTGGAGACTTTTTCCAAATTACTTGGGTAACAAGCAGAATGGGCACAGAAATGTTTTTCTTGAGGGTTTTTTTTTCTTTTTTTTTTCTTGGGTGAGGTAAAGGAGGAGAAAAGTTCTGTGGATATATGAATATGTGGATTTTTGTATGGGTGACTGATTTTAATAATCTGCTAACTCATTTTAGGTAAAATACCAGGCCAGTTCTTCCATGTCTGATGAGACCGTGAGCAAACGTAGTTTAGAGATGAGCTCCTGAAAGCAAATGTGTCTGTTCTTACTCATAAGCTTCTGCTTCTTGTATGAGTGCAGAGGACATGACTACCAAGTGCAAGTGAATGTGTGTACTCAAGAGACTTTGGTATAGGACAGTAATTTGTCATATTAGATACATTTTTACCTGGAATCACAGAATATTCTGAGCTGGGAGGCATCCCACAAGGATCATCAAATCCAGCTCCTAAGTGGATGGCCCATACAGGGATTGAACCCACAAGCTTGGCAATACTTGCACTAGGCTCTAACCAAGGAAGCTGGTCTCAGGGTCAAAGGAAAGATAAGAGAATGTTATAAAATAATTGAGAAATATTCTTTAAAAGCCTTATCAGTATTTTTGATTCTTAAAGGCCTGACACCAGGAGTTTGGGGGTAATTTCTGCAGAGTGGAAAATTGAGTCTTTATTGAATCTGACACTTTGAGAGTTATTAGAGCAAATAAAATTAGTGTCTTTTTTCTAACAGGTTCAAAAAGGCAATAGAAATTATTTCAATGACTGAACAAATAGGAGTATTTCCTACTGCCAACAGTACAATAAACTTCAAAAATAATACACATATGATTGTGATGTATTTCACTCTTGGAATAAAATAGTAATACATGTTTTGAGTAATTTCCTTGACAATTAAGGTTTGGTATGAATTCTCCATTCTATTTTTTATCTAAAATCTCTAGTTTAAAGTTATTACAATGTAACTAGTTTCATTCTGACTTAATGCATCAAACTAGATCTTTCATTACAGGCGTTGCAGCAATTAAAAAACCCCTGCCACCTGCAATCTGTTAGGTGGCCATTTATCAACCACCTTGCTGATTTGTTATGAACCCTTGGAGAACAGGTTCATGGTTACTAATTTGAAATACCCATTTGGTAACAAGATCACCAGATTTTGGATGGGTTTTGAGACAAAGCTCAGCAAATAAGGCATTTGCCCAGCTGTTCACAAAGGCAAGCTAACCCTGCTCATGTTTCAACATCAGCAGATAAAAATCTGCCCTGTATTGAAGGCTGAGGGGGTGTGGTAAACTTGGAAACCATACAAACTTGGGAGTGAAGAAACTAAATGGTGCAGTAGGGCTCCCAATTGAGAATGGGCTTGTGTGTAGCTGACATGGAATACAGTCATATCAAATTTTCTTTGCTTGCAAGAGACTTATCCTAATGAAAAATCAGAGCAAATTACATCAGTGATTTAATGTAAGCGAGCCTGCTGTCGCTGTCTGAGCTGTGATTGTTGGACTGATGAATATAAAACAGGCTGTCCTTGCTGGAGATGGCTGGGGAAGAGGGGAAGTGTGGTGCTCTCAAAGTACTGAAATCCAGTATTTGTTTTCCACATGTGATTGCAGTAGCTTTATTTAGAAAACTGGGCATGATTCAGATTTAAAAACAAACAAACAAACTGATTTTTTGCTTAATGGAATAAGCTTAACATAGTAACATCAAGCAAATGGATTAGACTATTTTTCTAAAATTATTGCTGCCTTGTTAGTAACTTTGTCTTTTATGTGTGCATTAATTTACTGATGTTTTTCATCTGGATTCATGTTATAGGCTGAGGTGGCCTGTCTTTTCTGGCTTGCTCTGCCTTAAATTTAAATACTGGTTTGCTTTGTCCTCTGAAATGTGAGTATGGAGTTGGACTTCAGCTTGTGTAGCTTTAAGAGTTGAATTAAGCTGCCATTAGGAAACTTCATCCATACAATCAAATTTGTACAGTGGAAAGAGGAGCAGGGATTCAGGAAAGTTTTGTAAATAAAACATTGTGAACAGAGCTATTTGTTTTATATTTCCATTGCACAGTTGTTTTTAAAAGGATTTCTTTGCAGTCCTGCATATTCAAATAATATTAACACACTCATTCACAGTAGTGAGACCTGTGTTACACAAAGCAGTGCAATATATTGAATATAATTTAAGATGCCTCCTAGGCTCTTGTTCCTGCTTTCAGCTTTCTAATTTGTCATCAAGATCACTTTACAGCACTTTAAACATTTGGTTTTGCTGTCCAAAGAAATGAACAAAATCTCCTTTCTAATGAAATGTGTCCTTTCTTTTCTGTCCTCAGCTATGAAATTAAAGAACAGTAGTAACTTATGGGTTACAGACAGATTTAAAGCTCCTTTTTATGCAGCTACTGTAACGTAAATATGGGAGTACAAGTGTTTGTTTCTATATTTGGGATGCACACAACAGAAAGCGTAGCTCCAGTGAAGGATCGCTCATTTATAAGTTCCTGATGAATATGGAATTTAATATTTATAGGCTGACTGAGGTAAAATTATAATGGAAAATGGAACAATGCTCTTAGTCTCCCTCAGGTGGTTCCCTAAGGAACCACCTTGTTACAAATATGAGCAAGTCCAAAACTGGCAAGATTATTCATAGCTAAACTAATGTCTGTAATCTAGTCAGACTCTGATTATATTCAGGATAGAATACAAATTAAGGAACAGATACTAACTGTAAAAATGCTTCGTTTTTTATTTATATATATATATCAATATACATATTTTCTTGATCAGTAACTGATTTTTCAGCATTCCTGGTATATAAAAACAATTCAGGCAGTTGAGTGGTCACTTTCACAGAGCAGTAAAAGTCACTGGAGAAAGCAAGGATGGTTTTTAACATGCATTTAAAAATATAAATTATTTCTCTACCACCTATGTTTAAGCAATGTTATGTGTGTTTTCTGGAATTCTTATCTTTTTCGTTGAAATGTTACTTCTGGCTCTTATGTCTCATCTGTTTGGTTTCAATTCCATAGTCACAGAGTAGAATTCTGTTAAAAACAAGCTAACAAAGGTTTTGCTATAATTTTGGAATCCTGTACTTCTCTGAGTATAGGCAGCTTTTCGAAGGAGATTCAGAAAATGATCTCTTCCAGCAGTATTGACTTTTATCAAGTCCTCCCCCATGATGCACTCACAAAGCCTTGTTGATGGTGGGTGTGAGACCCAGATCTGGGCTGTTGCTCATTAGGAGGTTATTTATTCAGGGAGCTTTCTTTCCTGAGTAAGGTGTGAATACTTGGTGGCACATTTTGTCTCATTATGTGGTAGCAGCAATAGCTTTTTTTTTTTTTTTAAGGCTTTTTAATGGCAACTACTGCTTTTAGGCTTTTTATGTTGTGTTAGCAATTGCAGGGTTTTTTTTTATTTGACTTGAGAGAAATTAACAGTCCTTTAAAATGGTCACGAAAACTATGAAAAGAAACTGGTAAAAGAAGTGAGAAGCTTTTATCTTGTCTTTTGTTGATAACTGCTATATAGACATCAGTAAACTATGTTTTGTTGCAGTGTAGCTCATTAGTTCTTTTGGTTGCTTTTGCTTTCTAAAAAAAAACCCCTTTTTTAAAATTATATTGAACAGTACTGAAGGGCTGACTGAACTCAGTACCAAGAGGATAAGAATTCATCTCAGCTTACTGGGCTCAGTTCAGGACTGACTGGGGTGGAAACAGTTCCTCTGGCTCCCCTGGCTGGGATATGCTCTGCTCAGCAAGTGGGAGGGGTGGAGGGTGTCAAGTGTGTGGTGAAAAGTTGAAGCACAGAGAGTAAGGATTTTAAGTAATAAAGGTGCTACAGAATTCCTAGAAATATTAAAATTTTGTCAGTTATTTAAATAAAAAAGTCTTGGTACTGTTCTCTAACAAGAGACTAGGAAATCTTCTAGAAGAATTCTCCAGTTTTTTAATCCGTGGCTTCTGCTTCACAGTGTTTATCCCTTTTGGTCAAGCTTATCAAATGGGTTGGATGAGAAGGACAGTGTCAGGCCAGTCTGGGTGAGCCTGTAAGCAATCTGATCCCATGACAGAGGGCTAGAACTAGATGATCATTATGGTCCCTTCCAACCCAAACCATTCTATATTCCCCCCACACCCCACTTTATTTTAACCTTTTTTGCAGTTGAGAAACACCAATGCCCACTGGAGTAGGGCAATGAGGTTTTACCATTTTGAGTTGTCTTCCTATTATCTTCCTCTTGTGAGACTTCTGGTGGCCACAGGGTATGGGAAAAAGAACCAGACTGGACTGATTAAAGTTAAGAAACATTTTTCTGTTGAAATGAAGATTCAGCAAAACCCCAGCTGAGCTGTTCAGTTCCTCCAGATTTTGCTTTAAAATTGTGTGTCAGGGTGTTTGAATTACAGATCTCTGTGTGTTTCTGAGTAAGGTACTGACCTTAGATGGGGAAATGTTACTTTAGTGATAGATAATTTGCTTTTCTTAGCTTACTTTTGTGGAGAAGTAGTTAACAGATTTCCACTGTCCACATCAGACTACCAAAATGAAAGTCAATTTTTTCCCTCTCCCCACTCTGACTGTGATAGTGACAAAACACCACTTACTGCATTGGGTCTTCTTTATGACGAACAAAAATGGGCACAGAATCTCAGTGTAGAATATATCTGAAGTGGGTTTAAAAACATTTGGTAAATGTTACTATCACATAGCTGAAA